TCTGTGTTCAGTTCTGACTATGTGAGTTTAGCTGTTATGTTGGGTGTAGCAGGATTAAATCTTCTAATACTTTGTAAACAAAAGCACTTCTTCAGAATATCCACAATCACTTTATAACAATGAAGCACTTTTCAGTTAAATTGCTTACATTTTGGCAACCAATTGAAATTCACAAAATCCCATAAGCAATGATTTTATAACAAGCAGACAGTCTGTTTTAGTGATTCAATTGGAGTGATTCACCAGGAGTACATTGCCTCCCGCCTCAAACACTCCTCTGGGATCATCTACCACCATGAGAAGCTCAGAGTCTGTCAAATACGGTGTTAACTATCTCTGATAGTGTTACATCAGCGTTACACAAGAGTATCCGCCTAAATAAGTTCCATCACAATTCTAAGAGGAAAGCAGACCTCTTCCCTTGCCTCAGGATAGCTCAGTCCATTGTGATCTTTAAACTGATTTGATCTAAGTAACTGAAAGCTGCTCATCACTTCTGTGTCCACCTACTATTAAATATAAATAAAATTATACTGACTCCAACCTTGCCACAAAATCTGTACTTCTCCATCCTGACGCTCAATCCAGAATTAATTAGTTTGTAAAGAAAAACTCTCAACAGCTTATTTAGCCAGGGATATTTATCGGGGTATTGACGGTTGGTTGACTTTGTCAGGAATTGAGGCTGGGATGGGCATTGTCGGGTGATTTGGGGGTGAATGTGTTGTTTTGCCGTATTATTTCCAGACTAACTAGTTACACAGCATTACGCCATGTGACCCGCCAGTATAAAGATACCCACCTCATCTTTACTCATTGTAACAGAGTCAGTTTAGAAGTAGCTCGTCGGGCTAAAGTGATCAAGGGTATGGGGAGAACGCAGGAGTGGGGTACTGAGTTCAATGATCAACCATGATCACATTGAATGGTGGAGCAGGCTCAAAGGGCCAAATGGCCTACTTCTGTTCCTATTATCTACATTTGTTCATAAACTTCTTTCTCAACAAGAACCAAGTCTTTGTGGGTTATGTTAAGTGAGCTAATACATAGCTAGTAGTCAGAGCATATTATAATGGTAGTAGTGTTTGACCAAAAAGAAAAAATCACGTTCGTAAGCCCTGTCTGGGGATTTGGGGCACTAATGGGGATGAGGGCGAGTTGGGCATTGCTGAGGGATTTGACGAGGGGCTGAGTAGCACTGGGTAGGTGGTGACACAGATGAGTTTTGTCGAGATAGGAACAGTGTCAAGATGGGAAGCTGTGTTGTGTCAAGGGTTGACAGGTCCGGTGAAGAACTGTCAATGAACTGGAGACAGACCTGGATCCTGAGGTCCGCTTCAGTTTCTGATGAAAATGGGGCTGTGGCTTTGTTTCTCTTACGCTCTGCCACCAGGCCAGTCTGAAACTTGAGGCATTGCCTGACAGGGAGTCAGTCAGTGAGCAAAAGGATGATGTAGCCATGGACAGTGATTGAAATTATGGTGCTGCTCATAGCCTGGATGCCCAATCTGAGTACAGCAGGCACCCAACCTCCACGGCCACCATGCACGCCCCTACCCCTCACCCAGGAATTCTGGTTTCTGGGCTCTGATCTTCACACAACAACCCACCCCCCCTTCCAAATCCAGCTCACCCCCCACTAATGTTCCCATCCTGGGCCCTGGAGCGACAGGGTTTGACATGAGTTAGGACAGGGGCAGCAGAGTTTAGAATGAGCCTTATGGAAGGTACAAACATTAAATTGGGTGCTGTATTTATCAAGTGCTCTGTGCTAAGCTACAGAAGATGCAGGTGCAGTAAAGCTCCCTCTATATTGTCGCAGAAATGCACCTCATTTCCAGACCCCCTTCCATTCCTCACTCCACGTGAACTGGTATGGCCAACTACTGCCAAATTAAGGCGTACAAGGTCAGGACAGACACTACCCAAACCCAAGATACCGGCAGACAGCAGATTCCAAGGTGGTCTTGACCACAGGGCTCAGAAGTCAAAGGCTTCTAATTCACTGATTTAACGAGATCCCCATTTCTAGTTCTACATCTTGAAGTTCCTTAAACACCACGTTATTGGATGACCTGGCAAGAGAGAGGTTCTGAAGCTGGCTGAAAACTGCAAACTTTTGTCTATTTCCATTAGTAGGCAGAAATAAACATGATTACTGATCAGAGTGACACAGACTGAGCGAGATGGAAAATAAAAATGACTAAATCAGAATGGCAAATTTCAACTTAACCGCAATTCATATTTTGGTGGATTTAACTAACCCACAAAGTGGAAAATGTTGTATGAATTGGAGGTGAGGAGAGAAAAAAGCATTCGGCTTGTGATTGGGGATGGGTGCTAAGCAAGAGAATCATGGAAGAGAATGGTTAGATCAGGATTGAAGAATAAGGATAAAAAGGAAAGTTCCATATATTTTGTATACACCTGTAGTGTTGTGTATAGATATAGGCATACGTTGCATTGGTGCTACCAGCAAACAAACGTTCATTTATACAGCATCTTCTCAATCTCAGAATACACCACAGAACATCATGGCCAATGATTTCCTTTATGAAGTGTATCCACAGTTACAATATAGAAAACACAGCAAACTTTTACAAACAGCAATGAGGAAATATTTTTTTTTAATCACAAAAAACACCTTGCTCTTTTTCAAGGAGAGTCATGTGCTCTTTTACACCCCAAGAGGGCAGATGCAATGTCAGTTTAGTATCAAAGCTGAAAGATGGCACCCCAGACAACACGATATTTCCTCAGTACTGCCAGTCTCAAAACCTGCTGAAGCATTTGGTGTGGAGTCGCTTGGAACCTCAACTCATGACCTTAAATGAGAGCATCAAGCCTGATCATAAACTGCAAAATGCCAAGACTGACAATCACACCACAATCCCTTCATGGGGTGTTCACAGGTAGTAATATCTGAAAAGAACCACAAAAATAAAAATCAGATTGTGGAACTGTGTTCACACTAATCAGTAATCTTGAAACCACAGTCAAAGTGGGAGGTTCGGGGGACGACGGACATGGAGGAACTCTGCTGTGTGAAAGTACACAAAGAGCAAACTTCATCTCCCATCAAGTGTTGGGGAGAGTTGTAGTTTCAGATGGGAGAATGGAATTTAAGGATCTTGAAGCAGACTTAAAGAGATGGCTCACTTTGGAGAAGCAGTAGGCCAGTACACAGTACGTTGCAGATGGCGGGGGGTGGGAGGAGCGGAGAAGAGGCAGTGAGGTGACAGGCATGAAGGAATGTCTCACTTTTTGGTTCAAAGGATTTTTATGAGTAGTAGTGAAGGGTTTAGTGATGAGATGAGATTTCAACATGTTGGGGATGGGGTAAAAACATCAAGATACATGTAAGCAGGCAGGAACTGAAACCAGTTTTAGGGCAGATAGAAATGTAAACCACAAATGCTGAAAAAGTGAAATAGAAACATAAAAGAATGGAAATTCACCATAGTTTAGTCAGCTTGCAGAATGAGAAATGCCAGTTAACATTTCGGACGTTGCTCCACCTGTTCTGACAACAGACATTTTTATTCAATTCATTCGTACTTGGTGGCGTTGCTGATTAGACCAACATTTATTGCCCAATCCAAATTGTCGAGAGGGAAGTTAAAAATCGACTGCCTTGCTATGGGTGTGCAGTCGCATGTAAGGTCAGAATGGGTAAGGATGGTAGGTTTCGTTCCACAAAGGAATGGGGTTTTAAGACAATTTTGATGGTTGCCATTAGGCCAGATTCTTTTATTTGAGATTTTCATCGAATTCAAATTACCTCATCTGCCATGGTGGGATTCAAAGCCAGGTCCCCAGAACACCTGGGGTTCTGGATTACCAGTCCAGTGACGTCAACTACCTTTTATTTGTATTGTAAAAGTGGGTTGTACAATTCAAATTTCTAGATGGACAGATTCACAAAATCGATGCGTGCAAAAGGAGGCCACTTGGCCCATCATGTCTGCACTTGATATCTGAACAAGCATCATGACAAAGTGCCATTCTCTTGCATTTTCCTGTAACCCTGCACATTAGACAATTATTTGAATAGGAAAAAAATGTCCTCTTACATATCTTAATTGAAGCTGGCTCCACCATTCTTCCAGGCAGTGCATTCCTTGGTGATGACATGTATGCATGAAATATAAATTGACCTCATTTCCAAGTTTCTATTTTACTGCCTTGAGGCAGAGGGAACACTATGGCTCAGTGTTTGTCGTCATTTACCAAAATGTACTTGGACGCTATTTATTAGACTTTCATTTCATCGTTTAACTTCAATGACCTTTCACAGGTGATTGGAGGAGCAGTGATCAATGCAATACAAGTGCTTTCATTCAGCCTCAGGCCTGGACTCATGGTCTGAGGCACAGGAACCAGGAGGATTTCAGGGAGACACTGGCTGCGGTGGGACAAGACAAAGCGTG